CTAGGCAGTCTGTCTCAGCCCCCTTCTCACATGAAAAGGCCTACTAATGTATGCTGACATGATGCCAGAAGATGCTACAGACTAGGACAAGTTAAAAGTGGCCTTGCTGAAATGCTGTGAACTTGCCAAAGAAATTTTTCATTGGAAATTTATAGAAGTCCAACCTGACACTGGAGAAACTGTATTTCAGTTTGTGGCACATCTACAAAGATACTAAGGAGGTGGACTGACATGACCAAGTGTGAAAACAGTTTTGAAGGACTAGCAGGTCTACTAATACATGAATGGTTCATGATCACATGCTTCATTGACATGACACTGTTCCTAAATGAGAGAGCACCAAAAGATGTGGATGAGATGATCAAGCTGGCAGAACAGTATATGAATGCCTACAGAGGGAGTATAATTGATAAATCCAAGAATAACCAATTAAAATCAAAATCAGGGGTGGCTGACCAGAATCAGGACACCATCAGTGATGACCAGAATTTAACAGACAAAAGAGAGAATAGATGCTGTATTTGTTATAAAATGGTGCACATTACAAGTGAGTGTAAGTCTGTCACCAACAAGCAACTGCAGAAATTTCAACATAAAGCAGCTGTAGAAGAAACAGAATAGAGACAACTCATCAGATTCACCACATGAAGGAAGTGCTATTTCCATGATTAAACAGTGCCAGTAGTGATTGGAGCATGTGACAAACACTGAGAGGTGTCAACAAACCACAACATGCCAGTAGGTGAAGGTTACGTCAGGGACAAGAAAGTGAAAGTCCTATGAGACACTGGATACAGTAGTACAGCAGTGAGAGCCAGTCTAGTATCTGATAACCAGATGACAGGCATGGTACTTCTGTGTTTGGTGATTGATGGAACAGTGAGAAAGTTTCCCATAGCAAGAAAAGAAGTGGAAACTCCATACTATGTGGGAGACCTTGAGGCCATGTGTATGAAGGCATCTATCTATGACTCGGTGATTCAAAATATACCAGGCAGTAGAAGTTTGGAAGAATCAAAGAGAAACATGATTGATGAAGCATCTGCAGTCACCACAAGAGCTCAAAAAAATAAAAGCAAGCAAGACATCAAGCCCTTGCAAGTTTCAAAAAGAGTCATCCCAAATGCAGGTCTATGGGAACTGAAGGAAGCATAGAAAAAAGACCCTTCACTGCAGAAACTTTGGAATTGCACCCAGGAGAAAGTCAAGCACAAAATAAAGGAGAAAGGGACTTACAAAATAGAGGACCGTAAGGGGGTGTTGTACCAGATCTATCACGGCAGTTATACTGGGGAAGTTAAACAGATCATAGTACCAACAGAATACCGGGCTCAAGTGATAAAGTTGGCTAGTGAGTCGATTGTGGGAGGATACCTAGGAGCAAAGAAGATGGCAGACAGAATCACCAGCAACTTTTATTGGCCAGGGGTCATCAGAGATGTGACCAGATTCTGCAGGTCATGTGACATCTGCCAAAGCACGATACCTAGGGTAGCCAAGGTGCCATTAGGTGAGATGCCTGTCATGGAAAAGCCGTTCAGCAGAGTAGATGTGGACTAGATTGGACAACTAGCACCTGTTTCTGAAAACAACTGGTATGTGCTTACAGTAGTCAGCTATGCAACACATTATCCAGAAGCCATAGCGCTGCCAAAGATAGAGACAGAGAGAGTAGCAGAAGCCCTCCTGGAAGTGTTCTGCAGAGTAGGCTTTCCAAAAGAAGTCCTAAGTGAGAGAGGGACCCCAGTTTACTTCAGAACTGATGCAAGAGATGTGAAGACTCATCATCACTAGGCAATTCTTTCCCACCCCATACAACCCCAGATGTAACGAACTTTGTAAAGAGTCAACGGAGTCTTAAAGAGCATACTGAAGAAGATATGCCAGGAGAGGCCATGTGACAGGGACAGGTACCTGCAATCAGTATTTTTTGCTTACAGGATTTTCACCATTTGAGTTACTGTATGGAAGAACAATATAAAGTCCAATGCAGATACTGAAAGAACTGTGGAGGAGAAGAAGAATCAAAAGTGAGGAACACATATCAGTATGTGTTAGATTTCAGAAACAGGCTAGAGGAGACCTGTCAATTCGCTCGAGTAAGTCTGTATCCAGCCCAAGACAGTCAGAAGCAGTTCCATGACAAGAAGGTCAAGGAACAACATTTCAAGGTCAGACAGAAGGTCTTAGCTCTAATATCCACAGACAGAAACAAACTCACCCTGCAGTGGAAAGGATCTTTTGAAGTGCAACAGGTGGACAGGAATACAAAGATCTACCATGCCAATCTGTTGAGGAGGTACTTCAAGAGAGAAGAAGACCTAATAGGTGTAGCTCTTAAGGCACAGGTGGACATGAAAGGTATAGCTATCATATAAAACCAAAAGACAGAAAATGAAGACCTATTAGACCTAAGACCACTGGGTGGAGATGAGACATACAAAGACATCAACATCAGTGAAGAATTGACTGGAAAGCACAAGAAAGAGTTACAAGATCTACTCTACCAGTACGCAGATGTCTTCACAGATAGATCAGGTAAGACAAAACATGACCAGGGATGCTAGATGCCCTATGCAATGAGAGATCTGATAAAGCAAAAAAGTCGAGGCAATGTTAGAAGTTGGAATCATCAAGCTTTCAAATTCAGCCAACTTTTCACAAGTGAAGCAGAGGGATGCTTCAAACCGCTTCTGCATAGTCTTCTGGACGCGGAACCTTGTGATGAACTTCTACTCCAAACCTATAGGCAACCCAGAGGTTATCATGGTGAAACTAGACAGGGCCAAGTTCTTTTCAAAGGTCAACCTCAGTACAGGTTATTGGCAGATCCCGAAGGAGACAGGATCTAAAGAGAAGACAGCCTTTGTGAAACAAGACAGATTTTACCAGTTAAAGAGAATGATGTTTGGGTTATTCAACTCAGCAGCAACATTCAACTACATGATGAGGAAGATGTTGCACAAAACCACCAACATTGAGCATTATGTGGATGACATTCTGACCAACACAGCCAAATGGGAAGACCATCTGAAGAAACTTAGAGATCTGTTTAGGTGAGTGAGGGCAGCAGGTCTGACCACCAAACCATCTAAGTGTTACATTAGATATTCTGTGCTGGACTGTGTTGGAAACAAGGTGGATGACTGACAGATTGCCATGGAAGAAGAGAAGCTAACCCACATACAAACCACAACAACCAAACAACAAGTCAAATCCTTCCTGGGTTAGTGGGATACTACAGGAAGTTCATCCCAAATTATGGTGATGTTGCTGCACCACTGACTGACCTGACCAAGAAAGGCCTACCCAACAGGGTGAAGTGGAAACGACCAAAGCAGATGGCATTCTAGAAGTTAAAGAACATGTTGGGAAGTTCATCAATCCTTAGAATGCCAGACTTCAACAAACTGTTCATAATTCAGGCCAGTACTTCAGACATTGGAATTAGAGCAGTACTCCTACAAGAACATGAAGATGGACTGTTTCCAGTAATGTACGTAAGTAAAAAGCTTTTGAGTAGTGAGAAGAACTGTTCTGTGATCAAACAAGAGTGTCTGGCCATCATATTTGCCATTCAGAAGTTCCAGAACTAACATTACTAACATCATCCAGACAGACCATCTGTCCCTTGCATACATCTAAAGGTGCAAAATTAACAGTGCAAGGATCGTGAGGTGGGTGTTGTATCTCCATAACTATCAGTTCTGCATTGATGCCATTAAGGGGACTGCAAATGTTGGTGCAGACCATAAGGTGCAGTCTTTGTATATAGTATAAAAAATATTGTAAATATGTTTCTTGAAGAGAGGCTTATTGTTGGATATACAAGACTGTTAAGTTTAACAGTTATTATTTAGTTTATTTAGTGATTTAATATTTAATGATTATTTAGTTTTCATAACAAGAGTGTTAAAAGTTGATTATTTTAAAAGTGATAGTTATGAAAAGTTTTGTTACATAACTGTATGAGTCATATGTTGTGTATGCAATATAATTGTTTTTATTATTGTTCATGTCATCTTACTTGAATCTTCTAAGGTTTCTCATTACATGTAATATTGTTGTTACTAGAGGGCTAGATATTTCTGTTGCATGTTATAAATACATGCAGATACAGAGAGGAAGTAAGTTAGTGAAAGTAAAAGTGAAGTTAGACTGGGTGATTGTGAGTTTAGCCATAAATGTGTATAGAGGCAACTTTTTAAAGTGTAATATTCACAGATTGTGTTGTAATAACAGAGTAAAGCAGATGAATTTGTCTTGTCAAAGGGTGTTCTAAAGTAATTGAACTTGGCTGTTTGGACTTTGATGAAAAAGAGACAATTATTTAAAGCTTTGGATACAACTGTGATAACCAATAGTGTAATGAAGTTTTGTACAAATATTTGACTTATTTTGTGTGCTGTCCATTTGGTGTTGAAAGTTATCACTAATAAGTCACAGACACCTACTGTAAAGAATCCAGCCCTATAAAAACCTGACACTTTATCTTTATAAAGATAGATATAAGCTCTCTCATCACATGCCACTGGAGTAATATAGTAAATATTGTGTGTCTCACTGAAGATAATGAATATGTGAAATGAGATTTGACAGGACATGTGTATTTTGGAAGTGCTTTTCCTAATGTGCTGTAAAATGTAGTGTTATTGCAACCCCAGTATGTCAGTAAACAACTTTTATAAAATAATAAACTTAAGTGCAGGAAATAAACTTGGATATTTGTAAAAGTTTGTATAATTTGAAAGTTTGAAAAAAGAAGGAAAATTTATTATGGAGCCATATATTTACTAATAATTATACAAATAAGTTAAAATTACATGCCCTACGAAACAAATTTGATGAAACTGAACTACTAATAGTTACTTTATAAAGAAAAAAAAAGAATCTAGAAGAGTCTACATCTCTTCAGTATGCACAACAAATTCTGGAATTTATTGCTAAAAATGTGATTTATTACTTAAGAATATATGAGAAGCTTTGGAAGAAATACTCACTGTATGAAACTTACAGGTGTGAGTCTTCCCTCACCACCACACCATGAGAGGTTTAGCCGTTGTAATGATAAACACCTATTCTCCAAACCTTGAAGTGTAACTACAGTAACCTGTATACAAATCATGAACAATTTATAAAATTAAAAATAAACATAAGAAAATAGTTACTAAATGTAACAACTAGTATCTCAACTTCCTACTTTAATACAATAATGTGGCTTAACCTTGATTTTCAGCATTTCTTTAAAAGTTCATGACATTTAATAATGCTAATACACTTGACTTGTCTTTAAGTATGTTTAAATTTGCACACATTTCAGAAATATTTCTTAAATATATATCAGTAGATGTGAATTCATTAAACATTTGCAAATTATTCTCAGAAACACATTACCACATTCCATTCTGCCACCCTGAATAGAAGGGTGATAGATATTTCTGGTCCTTAAAGAATTATTTTGTATAGTAGGTACCAATGAATTACAGAATGACTATGCCATGCTGTTGAAACCGTATTGTGTAATATATCACTTTCTACAAAACCTTTTACATACAATCCATAATTAAAAGGTAGTTTAACATCTTATTGTATCTAAATGAAATAAATAAATAAATACAATGAAGAGAAGACACTAACTTATATTTCATTGGTTGACTGGCTGAAGCTTTTATACTATTTTGCTGGTAACACTTTTATAGCTTAAAAACAACTCTTTGATACTCATAAAAGTACATCTTAATATTAAAAAAATTATATTTTCTCTATTAGTTCTAACTCCTATCAAATAAGTTGAGAACTGCATACAACTACTGTTACTAAATGGAATTTGAGGAAGAATGGAAACACCCAATACTTTCAAGAAGCACTTAAACAACTTCCCAAAAATGAACAGGTTTGAACATTCACCATGAAAATTACAAGAAGCCTCATTATCAAGTCTACTGCACATGCATTTAAAAGTTCTACCCATCCCTAATAAACTTCAAACTTAGCCATATACAAGCCACATATTATTCTAAGAAATGCACCTCTGCATGTAACAAGTCTAAAATGTGAACTCTGTGGTAAAACAGGATAAGTATGGTGAGTCACCACTCACCTTATTTTTTTATATCAAATTGGCTTAAGGGCTCATAGAATGTTTTTTTCAAGTACAAACCTTTAACTCATAGCTCCGTCATCTCTTGACCAATTTGAGATCAATTAATTTTTAAATCAGGGGGTCAAACCCTTTTGATTGATGTATTTGACCATGCATAAGATCTCATAGATTAATTTACTCTAATCCTGTTGAAAATAATTTCAATTTGAGGGTAGGCTGGTAGAGATCCTGATGAGTAATAAAATCAAATTGGATATATGCGAGCACCACACTTCATACTGCTGATGCACAAAAAATATAGCTAATAAAAAAGAACAAAAAAGTCTCACAGATTAATTTACTCTAATTCTGCCTAAAATTATTTCAAGTGCCATGGCTATTGAGGATTCCCTCTTGTTTAATAAAGACAGTCCAGAGCAGTTTAACACTCCAAGTGTTTGGTTCAAACTGGAAGGAATGCAAGTATATCTTTTATGAGAAAGAATAAATTTTACTGGTATGAAAAGTTGTTCAAGCATTGCCACTAAAAGGCACATTTAAAGCTGGTTGGTTGTTTGGTGCTTTATGGCACAAAGCAACGAGGCTATCTGTGCCAAACAACCGGTAAAAACAGTGAAAGTAAATTAGAGTAAAATGTAAAAAATACAGCGAGTTAAAACCAATATATGTCAATAAAAGATTTATATACAATATAAGACCTATAGTGCGTAAAAAATTTAAAATACAATATAGTCGGACAGTATCACCATTACCAATGACATTGTCCAACGTCAGGGGTAAACTCTTAGAAAACACGTTTATAAAATGGTGCCACCACTCACGGTCGTAACAACAGCATGACAGTAAAATGTGGACTATTGTGACTTGAGTGTCAAAATGGCTACACATTGGTGGGTCAATATCGGAAATAAAAATGATGGGTTAAAAAACTGTGACAAATGCGTAGCCTTGCCAGGACAACTTCCTCCCTCCGATCCTTATGGAAGCAAGATGGCCAAAGACCAATAGAAGGTTTGATCTGGAAAAGCTTTTTATGATGTTGCTCACCCCAAGTCGACTGCCAACTGGCACGAAGACAGGACCGTAGTCCATGTACGGGATAGGCACGGCCGTGACGACACCAGAGTAGACGGACTTAGCTGCAGTGTCAGCTAGCGCGTTCCCATGAATACCGACATGGACAGGTATCCAGAAAAAATGTATGGAAACAGAAGATAGAGAGAAATTGGGCCAGTCTTTGTTGAATATCGACGAGAACAGGGTGAGAACTAACGTTAAGTGATTCCAGGGCCAGTACAGAGCTAAGAGAATCAGTGTAAACAGTACAATTACTGTACTGCATAGCTTCTACATGATCCAGGGCAAGAGAAATAGCACACAACTTAGCAGTGAACACAAAAAACTGTAGAGGGGATCCTGCGAGCAACTACCGAGCCACAGCACACCATGGCAGAACCTACAGAATCAACCGATTTCGAACCATCCATGTAAATAGGAAGAGAAGAATGGCTCGAAAGATGTTCAGCAAAAAGAAGATGGTACTTCCAATCAGGAGTATCTGCCTTCCTCAGAAGACTCAAGGAAAGGTCACAGGAAGGGATGGTAATAAGTCATGGCGGAATGGGTTGATCATTAGGGACAGCAATGTCATCCAATGCCAGACCCAATTCAGACAGTTGTGCCCAGATACGAAGGCCAAAGGGAGGAATAGCAGACCGTCTGTTCTGAAAGAGCATTGCCCACCGAGGAAGAAAGATAGAATCCAAGGTGGGATGCCGTGGTAAGGATCGAAGCTTGGTAGCATATAGTAAAGAAAGTTGCAAATGACGGAGGTGAAGAGGAGGTTCGTGGGACTCAGTGTATAAACTCTGGACTGGAGAAGTGCAGAAAGCCCCAGTGCAGAGCCAAAGCCCAGATGGTGAATGGGGTCCAGCATCTTCAAGGCTGAGGTCCTGACAGAACCATAGACCAAAGACCCATAGTCCAGTTTGGATCGAATCAGGGCATGATAGATCCTGAGCATAGAACATCGATCCGCACTCCAAGAGCTGAAAGAGAGGACACGGAGGATGTTCAGAGCCCTTGCACACTTGACACGTAGCCACTTGATGTGTGGAATGAAGCTAAGCTTACGGTCAAAGATAAGCCCCAAGAACTTTGCCTCAGGGACCACACAAATAACTATATCGCTGAGATGGAGCTCTGGATAAGGGTGGAGACCCCGTTGGCAGCAAAAATGCATGCAAACGGTTTTGGAAAAAGAAAATTTAAAACCGTTTGCAGTGGTCCATGTCAACAACCAATAGAGGGCAGTCTGAAGTTGCCGCTAAATAAACCTCATGTTCGACGACTGACACGAGATGTGGAAGTCGTCGACATAGAGCCCATTTGCAACCATTGGAGGAAGATTATTAGTGATGGCATTAATTTTAATACTAAAAAGTGGAAAGGAACGGGAAAGAGTTGAACCCACATGGACTTAGAGTCACCTGTTCAGTAAAAAGTTTTGAATAAAAATGGGTAAATGGCCATGCAACCCATAGGAGTGGAGGTCCTGCAAAATGCCATACCTCCATGTAGTGTCATAAGCCTTCTCAAGATCAAAGAACACAGAAACAAGGTGTTCTCTCTTGAGAAAGGCTTCCCTGATCGACGTTTCCAATCGAATCAGATGGGTAGGCGAGAGGACCGTGTTCGATTCGTGGAACCAAACAAGACAAGCATGAACCATCCTCTCTAAAACCTTAGAAAGACAACTGGTCAAAGCAATGGGACGATAATTACAAGGAATCTTGGGATCCTTCCCAGGTTTAGAGAAAGGGAGGACAATAGCCTAGTGCCAAGCATCAGGAAAAACATGCTCCTGCCAGATCCGGTTAAAAATCACCAGAAGAATAGCAAGAGAGGCAGGAGAGAGATGGTGCAGCATCTCATAATGAACATCATCAGGTCTGACTGATGTACTACCAGACCGATGAAGAGCAATTTTGAGTTCCACCAGTGTAAAGGGGCGATTATAGTCATAGAGACGATCAGCCCAAAAGGAAAGAGGTGATCGCTCTGCCCGAGACTTGATGGCCAAGAAGGCAGGGGAAGAAACAGAAGTGCTAGAAGCACGAGAAAAGCTGTGGCTGAGAGTATCAGCAATGCTCTGGACATCAGCAACTTCCTGGCCATTGGAGAGCAAGATGGAAAGGGGATGGAAAGCATACCTCCCAGTGACTTTCCGAGTCTTGTCCCATACAGTTTTGGAACTGGTGGTAGAAGAGATGCTAGTAGTGAACTTAATCCAAGACTCCTTTTGGCTATGATGTCTAACCTGTCGAGCATGGGAACGGGCCCACTGATAAACAATGTGGTTAGAAAGAGAGGGATACCGTCAGAAGGTATCCCAGGCCCGTTTTTGAGCCTTCCGTGCCTCCTGGCAGGCAGGACTCCACCATGGACTAGGATACCGTGGAAAACGTGACAAGGTCTTAAGAATAAAATGAGCAGTTGCCTGGATGATACAGTCAGTCACTGCAACCACACAGTCATCTATTGATGCCAGACAGATGGAGGCAGGATCAAGTTTGGAGAGAGAGGTGAAAGATGGCCAGTCAGTCTGGTCCAACTTCCACCGTGGCACTCGGGTCGGGTGGCATCGACCATGGCCAACCTCCCTCATAATGATAGGAAAATGTTTACTGCCCCGTGGGTTATTGTCGACCATCCAAGAAAAGTGAAGGGGGCAAATTGAGAGATCAACAGCAGTAAAAGACTGACTAGGTGCATGAAAATAAGTATACCTTCGAGTATTGAAGAGAGAAAGGTTGTTATCCAACAGCATACACTCTATGGAACGACCCCTCCCATCAAGATCAGCACCACCTCAGAGGGGGTTGTGTCCATTAAAGTTTCACAGAAGTAAAAAGGGAGATGGCAACTGGTCAACGAGAGCATCAAGGTCTGATTGATCATAAGTCTCCCCAGGAGACAGGTAGAGAGAACAAACAGTGATGGTAGAA